AAGTTCTCTTTCATTCAGACTTATCGATCGAAAATCACACCCCTCTAAAAAGTAACCCCCCCAAAAAATAAAAAATCAACATCACACACACACACAACAAAATACACTTACTTAATATGTAGTCTATTTGTGTTGCCTTGGAACTCTCACTTAAACAAAACACCTCTAAACTTTTTCACTTGTAAATGATCTTTTTGTGTTGCAAATACTGTGGCATTCTTGAAAACCAAAAAAGCTCTTATCTTCGGGCACTTTATATGACCTATCTGTGTTGTAAGAGCCAAAAAATTCTCACTAAAAGTTTACAAAACTTTTCAGACTGACCAAGGCATCAAGAACCTCATGGCCGACCGGGCGGCTGAGCTCGCCGGAAGTGACCCCGACTACGCCATCCGTGACCTCTACAACGCCATCGCTAACGGAAGTCCCCCATCCTGGTCGGTCTACGTACAAGTGTTGCCAGTGGCACAGGCCGAGAAAGCCTCTTGGAATCCTTTCGACTTGACCAAGGTGATACGGAACTTCTTTCCCTCCTTCCCACCCCACACCCTTTAACTGATTTAGGTTTTCTTACCCACTATTCTGTTCTGAATTCTTTAAAGAAAGAAAAAAAAATGCAAACTTTTGTAGGTTCAACCTTCCTTGCAACGCTGTAAGATATCTTGAAGGCGAGGTCTCCGAATGAAACGTACGGCTCAGATAGGACCGAGAAAAAAGGGGCGAGTTCTTGAAAAGTGCCCTTTCCATGCAAAGGAAGGGGTTTGATCCAATTTGTTCTCAATAACCCCATATTCCTATCTCTAGCTTCTCTCTCGCTCTCTCTCACACACACTCTCTCTCTCTCTCTCTCTCTCTCTCTCTCTCTCTCTCTTTCTCCCTCTTTCTCTTCCCCTCTCTCTCTCTCCCACTGTCTCTCCCCACTCTCTCTCTGTTTATTTGTTTTGTTATCGTCTGCCTGTCTGCCCCCCCCCTTTATCTTTCTCTCTCTCTCTCTCTCTCTCTCTCTCTCTCTCTCTCTCTTTCTCTCCCTCTCTATCCCTCCCCCTCTCACTCTCTCGCTTTCTGTTTCATTTCTCTCTCTCTTTGTCATTCCTTTGTACTGGTGATTTTTTTTCCCGTTTTGGTTTCGGAAGAGGGGATAGAAATAAACCAGTCGTGATTTCAGGGGTGTAAACCTCTTTCCAAAAGTGACAGAGTGATTAGTGAAGTCAGGCTCACTATCGTGACAGAAGTAATATTAGTGACATGGCTTCTTAATACTAGGTCATTTGGGTGCGTCCTTGATCAAAAGACGACAACCTTTGCTAGGAAATATGACGCTTCACAGCGGCGACTAGCAAAGTTTGTGTTTGTGATAACGGTATAGCTTTAACGCCCTTATCAACGCAATAAGGTTATTTAAAAAGCAGGACCTCTGAGTTTAACGTCTATCCCCAAAAGGACCGAGCCAAACAGAACATGTGTAAAGTGCCTTTCCCAAGGACAGAGAGTCGGACCGAGGTGAGGCTTTAACCCCCGAGCCCACAATCTCAGGATTACGGGTCCAGTAGTCTGTCAAAGGAATGAATGGAAAACCATGATCGCTGATGTCTGTCGCAGATCTGGCACTGGATGATGATGAGTCTGGAATCGTAAAACATACTTCCACCACTGGAATTTTTAAAAAATGGTACTTTATTACCTTAATATATGTAAGGCAGCGTGGTGGATTCAGGCTCTCGTCAATTTTTGCGCATGTAGAGTTATTGGTATCATCTTAAAATGTATTCATTTGTCTTATTTTGGGTGAAAAAAATGTCCATTTATCTTGAATACTAGTCGAGATATTTGCGAATGAAGTGGGTGGGAGTCACCTGTTTTCAGAGGTAAGATTAGTGAGAAAATGGCCCCCAAAGATTAGTTATTTCCTTAGCTTAAGAGTCTGTGGTAACTGAAAATTTACACTTTTTGTGCCTTGGGCCTGAAAGGTGTTGAGCCAAAAAAAAAAATTTGAAAAAAAATCACAAACCTGCAGAAAAATGCCAGTTTCTTCACTTTGATTATTTTGACGAGAGCCTGATTCCACCACCCTGCCTCACATAATTTGTTTACTTTACTTTTTCTTCCTCTGTTGCCGTTAAGCGCCGAGGAAAGATGCAGCTTTCTATTGTATATTGTATGGTAGCTCTGAAGCTCTTTCAATAGGGATGTTATGATTGCTCATGGTTCCTTCGACTCCCTCAATCTATCTTTGCGTAGCTTTCTTCTTCCTTCGTAGACTGAGCACT